TTCCCTTCCCAAACCTTCCCAAACCTTCCCAAACCTTCCCAGACCTTCCCAAACCTTCCCTTCCCAAACCTTCCCTTCCCTTGCCTTTCTATTCCATTCCATTCCTATTCCATTCCATTCCTATTTCCCTTCCCTTCCTTTTTTTTGTATTCCTTTCTATTTCTATTCCATTCTATCCTGTTCTGCTCTATTCTATTCCATTCCACCTTAAACATCCTTTTTCCCATTTTTCCCTATTTCCACCGAGTTCCTGCCTTCTTGGCTCCTCGAGGCACTTCTGCACCGTTTCTAAAGTGTCCATTATTTGTTTGTCTCTGACCATTTCACACCCTTTCCATCGAGCCCACGTGACAGTTTGTCACTGAGAACAAGCACCAACATCAGCATTTGGCATAAAATTGTTAACCAGAAAATAAACCAAAAGAAAACTTCCAAGTTATTCCCCACAAGTCCTGGAAAGCAAGGATTTACTCCCACAGCAACATTAGTTGGCTGCCAGTGGTTCTGTGGTTTAGGCCACAGAAAGAAACTGTGTTGGGTTATTAGTGCTGCAGAATGAAAAATAAATGCAAGGGTTTGGCCTGGAAATGGCAGGATGTTGTGCATTAAACTGTATTAAAAATTAACAAATTATTAATAATAACGCAAATGAGAAATTGCTGATTTTCGTTCATACTCAGATACAGACAAAAGTAAAAGCAAAACTCACATTTTTTTCTAAGGGTCACACTTTCAGCATTTGAAACAGAATTCCTGAAGAATTCTTTCTTTTGTTCACACATTAACTCATTAACTATTAGGAAGTAACAATGGGATGGGCAGACAGATTTCAAGACAGTTTAGGGTGCAAAGCCAACACCAGGGTGGACCAAACACCACATTTTTTTAGTCACTGCAGCCACTCATTTAACTCCTCATAATCTGACGGGATTCCACTCCCAATCCCCAAAAACCAAAGAGGAAGAGTTACCTGAGCAGACCTCCTTGTAGGTGGGGTTTGGGGTGTGACCTCCTGCATAACCCACTTGAGTGGAGTAAACTCCCTTCTGCCTCCAGAACTTCCTCTCAGCTCCCCAGAAACAGCCCATACCTGGATATGGCATAAAACACACACTGTCACATCAAAATCTGCCAATTAATCACTTATTTGCATATTAATCACACTCCACAGTGGAGGCAACATCTATAGGCAGCACCTGCTGGTCAAGTGTTTTTCCAAGATTATTTATAGGGTAACTACATGGAAAAATCCATTCTGCATCAGAGCATGACACAAATAAAGCTGATTTATCCTTCTGAATATCAATATATCACCAAGGACAAACCTTGCAATGGTTCAAAGGCCCAAACAAGGAGAATTCTCAGGCACACACCAAAAAAAAAGTTACTTAAAAGGCAGTTGTTCTATTTGTGCAGCACCATTTTTGCTCGAGTTGATTAGGAAGCTGTCAAAACACAATAATTTGTATTAATGGCAAACAGTTATTTCATTTTCTGCTTTCAGGCAGAGGTGGCAGCAATAATGGATTATATTATGGGTTATGCAAGAGGAAAAATGCTTCAGTTTAGCAATTTATTCACGGAGACACTTGATGTTCACACAAGATTCTGGTGGTCATTCGCCCACGTGGCCAATTATCAAAGGACATCAGACTGACAAAGGTGTGAATTAGCAAAACTCTCCTGGTTAAAGGAATCAAGGAACAAGCACAACCAACATTTCCAATTGTCTGATGGCTTAGTTAAATAAATGTTTAAGAGACTAATTATTAGATTATTCATTTAGGGTGTCATGCCCGCTCCAGTGTTGTGAAGATGATTCCTGATTGTGTATTTTCTCTCTCAGCGATAACACACTGCCTGTTATTATTCCCTTTCCAAAACATTTGAAATAAAAGGCAGTTAAAAATAAGCTAAATATTAAACACACTTAGAAATCAATGATCCATGCTGGGTTTTCTACCAGTAACACTGAAGATTTGACAAGTTAAAAAAATCACAGAAATGATCCTTCAAAGTACAACCAGAACCTTTCTCAACCTTGATGGCTCACAAAGGCCTGTTATTCCTTTGAATCTTCAGAGATTAACTTAAATTAAAGTTGTAATGGACCAAAAATTACAGAAGTAATGACTGGGATTTCTCCTAATTCAGGTGTTCAAGCAAACTGCATAAATCAGGAGTTCAACCTGCTCCTGGAGGCTATGGAGAGAGGGAGGAACCTTCTGAGGACAGTTCAGCCCACAGAAGATATAAATTGATGATCAAATTAGTTATTCTCCCCTAATTACAGAGATCACTGGGGCTGTTAGGCTTGGGTTCCTCAGCTAAATCAGCCTGGTGGCAATTTGTAGGATCCCTCTTGAAATTCCCTCCCAGTTTCTGCTTCTGAACTTTGTTCCCAGAGGCTTGATCAGTGTGAAAAAGTCAAGAATCTGCATGTCCATGTTAAAGTGCTGGAAATGGCTGTTCCCTACTGTCAGAGAGTGAAACAGTTAATGGCTTAAACATTGTAAGATCACCCCAAGACTTTTGTCCACTGCAGCAAAGTGCAAAGAAGCAGCTGCTCACCCAGCAGAGCCCACCCCTCCCTGAACATGCCAACTGGGAAAGCACCTTCAGATCAGAGAAGTGGGTGCCACTGTCCAACTGTCCTGGGTGCAGATGCACCCCTGGAGCTACAAACTGCATTTCCAGATAAGGGAAGAAGGCTAAGAAAGGGCAAATCCTGCAAGGTGGGATAATCCTTCTTATCATACCAATGTCCTCCCTTGCATGATGACTCTGCTGTGAAAACCCCTCCTGGGGGCATCAAACACTTGTGACATGTCCTGTGACGTGATCCACGATAAAACTCCCCACCCAGGGGAGGTACAAGGTGTTCCCACCTGAGATGGAAGTGTATAATAACTCAGGAAACCTTTGAGGTTTAGGGGGGGGCTTCCCCCAGCCCCAACAGATCAAAAGCACCACTTCAACCAACAGACATGGAAGCTGCAACTCCCAAGTTTCATTGCTGGATCCAGTGGGTGGTGACTATATATATCAGTCACCTTATATATATATATATACATCTCCTTATCCTTTCTTTCTCTCCCTTACACATTCTCTTAAGTGATATTTTTATGCTTTAATATTGCTATGCTTTAATAGTGCCATATTGCCATTTTTTATGTTGCTGTATTGCTACAGATGCTTTAATATTGCTGTAGATGATAACACCCAAAACACCAACTTACCTGTTTACCTTTGAAACAAAACTGTCCTAAAATAAACCCTACATATATATGTTTACAAACACTGATTATTCGGTGTTGTTTCACTCTAATTCACCCCAAGGGGTTTATTAATAAGAACCTGGGTCATCCTCCCCAGCACTCACTGTACTGCAGCAGGGATTTTGGCAGGATACACGGGATATTTTTACAAGGAACTTGCCCAAAAACCTGTGTTCACGTGTGGTTTTACACGTATGTGTGAGAAATATGGATTAAAACATGCTTCCAGATTGGATGTTAGGAGAAAGTTCTTCACCGAAAGGGGTGAAGCCCTTCCCAGGACAGGGGTGGAGTCCCCATCCCTGGAGGGATTTCAAAGCCCTGTGGATGTGGCACTTGGGGCCATGGGTTAGTGGTGGCCTTGGCAGTGCTGGGGGATGGTTGGACTCGATGATCTCAGAGGGCTTTTCCAACTTAAACGCCTCTGTGATTCCATGTCAATTTGACCCGGTGACCTCCGGATCCTCCTCAGAGGTTCTTTCCCTTTTCCCTCTCCCAGTTCATGTCTGAGCTCATCCTGCTGCCCTTCCCCTGAGAGACAGAGACATTTTATTCCCTTGCTGAAGCCTCCTCCTCATTTCTCTGCCACCTCACAGCAACAATAAATCCTCCCATCCACGGGAACAGATAAAATTGAAATCTTTGTCATAATAAAACAACCTGCTCCTAAAGAGACATAATTTACAACAATACAGCACTAAATTGCTTTTCCACAGGATTAATACAATCAGAGCCTGATGTTTGTTATTCTGCTAAAGTGGTGCCAGAGAAATTGTCATAAGGAGAGAAATATTAACAATAAAACCCCACATAATATTCCAGATTTAAGACACGTGAGCTCATGGAGTGCCTGTTTTCCAGAGCACTGCCTGTCTTTAGCTATGGAAAACATGGACAACTACTAAAACAGGGAAATAATCGCAGTTCAAGACTTGTAGAACAAAAAGAAAAGTTGACTTTCCCTAATTACTACTACTCTAGGATGAAAACTGGGGAAATAAATAATTTAAATAATAAATTTAAATAATTAAATAAAACTCAGAGGGGGGGGGAAAAAGGCCAAAAAACAGTAGGGAAATAAACATAAAAGCCAATAAACCACCCCTGTTATAATTTGAAACTAGAAAATATGAATGTGATTTTAAACTATTCATGAAGGAATTTGCATAATCCCCAGTCCTGGTGAAGTGAGTGGAGCTTTGGAGTTAGATAGAGAGCTTCCAGAGGCATTCCTAAGAGAAAGGGAAGAAAGGAAATACTGGGGAACATCCTCACGTTCCCAGAAAGAAAAGTATTATTTGAACATAATGGGAATTGCAGAAGAGTGTTTGAGCATTGAAGATATTTGTCACTTTTTAATTGCTAATTTGCAAAATAAAACCTATTCTTTTAGTGATAGGTTTTGACTGACTTTTAATTGGAATTTGAAAAGGTACTTAAAGATTTCCTTTTTTTTTGCTTTTTGAACTTTAAAACCAAACAGACTCAAACAGGAATCTTTAAAGGTTCAGTCATCCCTATAAATAATATTAATCATAAAATTGGGGGATAAATGATAGTACCCATATTCCTTTCTAGAATCCACATCCTTTTCCTCAAACTATTCTCTTTATGCATCCATACACATATAGATCCTCTAAACACCTCTTTTTGTCAGCCATGTGTTTCCACGGGCAACCCAGAGTATTTTTATATTTCTAAGAAATAGTCACCATAAAATTAAGTATTCTTCTAAAATAATGAAAGCCAAGTGCTACTCTAATAAGACATAAACATCCCATTCTTGGAGATAATGAGTGGTGAAATATTCAGAGAAAAACTGAGCAGAATTGCCCCCCAGGTGATTCCAGAGAGGAACAGCTTTATGGACTGTGTTAAACACGTGGACCAGGCCTGCACTGACTGCACAGGGGCTCAGACATTCAGGGATTAATTTATTTGCCTAAATGGAGACATTTGGGGTCATCTGAGATGCCTCAGGACACCCAAGACATCTGAATACACAAGGCTCACATAGATGAGACAGGAGTTGGGAGAGACACCAGTCATTCCTGAAAGGCATCCTGAGGGCAGGGAAAATACTCCTGGACATCGGAAATGTAACTGTCTCCTGGAATCACTGGTTTGGGTTGGAAGGGACCTTAAGATCATCTCATTCCAATCCCTGCCATGGGCAGGGACACCTTCCACTAGCCCAGGTTGCTCCAAGCCCTGTCCAACCTGGCCTTGGACACTTCCAGGGATCCAGGGGGAGCCACAGCTCCTCTGGGCAACCTGTGCCAGGGCCTCAACACCCTCACAGCCAAGAATTCCTTCCCAATATCCCATCTAACCCTGCCCTCTGGCAGTGGGAAGCCATTCCTCCTTGTCCTGCCCCTTCATCCCTTGTCCCAAGTCCCTCTCCACTCTCCTGGAGCCCCTTTAGGCTCTGGAAGGGGCTCCAAGGTCTCCCTGGATCCTTCTCTTCTCCAGGTGAGCCCCCCCAGCTCTCCCAGCCTGGCTCCAGAGCAGAGGGGTTCCAGCCCTTGGAGCATCTCCGTGGCCTCCTCTGGACTCTCTCCATCAGCTCCACATCCTTCTGATGTTGGACCCCAGAGCTCCAGCTCAGAGCACCCCATTTGCACTTTTTAAGGACAGAGAAACCAGTCCATACCCCACATACTGACATTACAAACCCCTGAAAGTCTCCGAATCTGAAGTTGAATCAGATCTCCCCAAACAAATCGATTTGTCTCATTTCCCGTTTCCCAGTTGCCCATTTCCCTTCCACACCTATAAAAAGTAACTAACCTGACCAGCTCAGTAGGACTGT